CCGCCGAGCTACCGTCGAGCGATTTCTGCAACCTTGATATATATATATAGCCACATGAATAATAATACTATGGTATTATAAAGTATTAAAGTAAAATAATAATACGTTTGATTTCCAAGGGGTGTCAATGTGTCATAGCAACGTGTTGTCAAGTAATCTTAAGGTCACGGGATTAAATCGTGCGAAATAGATTCATTTGATTATCAAAATTTAGGGGGTGTTTTGATAGGAAAAAAAGAGGGTGCTTATTGGTTATTTTGTTTATTCCCACCATAATAAACTAAATTTAAGTGTTTGGATAAATACTTAAAAATCAACTTATTGTGTTAGGAATTAGCTAAATAAGCTAATTTTAATAAACATCTCCCCCCTTGTTTATTGCTTATTCCCACCACAAATAAGCTAATAAGCAATAAGCTAATAAGCTAATCCAAATACCCTCTTAATTTTTCCTTATTATATCACATTATCAAGTCTTGTTTGATACTTTTGATATTGGTAAATGATAGTAACATACATGTTTTTATTCGTTGAATGAGCAATTATTTTTTCCATACAAAATAATTTATGTTTTAGAATATTTTACAATACAATCCTTTAGTACAATCCTCAAAAATATAAATTGTTATATATTAAATAACTACTAGTTGTAAAACTTATGTATTATTTAAGTTCATTAAAAGTCACGACTTTACTTTCTTTTTCATCTATAACAACATTCTTTTAAAGAAAATCTACTTAGTTATAGCAATTCAACTCAAATATGAAACAATTATCACTACTATAACTTGGTAAATAATAACAACAAAAAAAATGCAATTTTATAATTTGATAGTCTTAAGAATCTTATATTTAATAAAAAACAAATACTCAAACATTATCATAGAAAACGTGAAAGTTAAATTTTATATGCACAGATAAATAAAAGTAGTAAGAAATTGTATTTAGTTATCTATTTCTAAATGAAGATCGTTAAATTTTAACTTCATATAGCGTTTAAAAAACGTTATCGGTTATCAGCTACTCGTTATTCTTGCTAAACGCGTCTTATATATAGTAAAACTAAAAAAAGTGTTGATGGCTTTTTATGGGCTTCTTTCATATTTTACATAAATAATCTGTATTATTCATTAATTCCAATAAAATAAATAAATTAAATAAGGTATAATCGTCATTTAACATGTATTTAACATATAATAGTTGGTAGAGTTATTCTTAAGGACCACGGGTGCAAGTTATGAAAACCATGGGATGCGTCATGTCAAAAGTTCAAAAGTTGTACTAGGGATGAACTTTTAACCCAAAACATAACCGGAACAGGTTGGAACTGATTAGTGGTGTTCGGTCTGGTTCCCAATTCATCATTTTGGTTTTCTATTCTTTGAGTTCTGATCCGCTTCGAGCCATTTTCTATACCAAACACCTTTTTAGATAACACGTGTCCTAATAGAAACGAAGTGGAACCGGTTGCAACTGGTTAGTTGTATTCGGTCTGTTCTTAGTTCATCATTCACTCCTTAACCAACTTTTCTGTTCTTCTGTTTTACATCTCTAAGTTAGACTAAAATAGATATTGGTGTAAACCACACAATGTTGTAAAACTCGCCGAGTTGGCCGATTACTCATCCGAGTACTCGCTACTCGGCCCCTTACCGAGGCGAGTTGCAAAATCTTGAGTACTCCCCGATCGACCCTTACTGAACTTAGCAATGTTGTAAAACCCGGTCAACTCGGTGATTAATATGCATAATATAATTAATGATTTATTATTTAACATACACATGTGATTATTACTAAATATATATCTTAAATTTTCATTAATTATTCACGAAGTGAAACCAATATGTGTTTTTCAGTTTTTGTGTATTCACATGTATCTAATTTTGTTACATATTTCAATCAACTTATGATTTTAACTTAAGATTTTGACATATATAATGTCCCTAAAAATATTTCTACATAAATTACCGAATCCAAGTACTCCCGAGTACTCGCTACTCGGTAGTTGGCCGAGCAGGTACCGAGTAACGAGTTCTACAACCTTGAAACCACAGAGTCCAAAACTATGGTTTACGCTTTCTTGATTTTATTTTAATTATTAATAAAAGAATCACCACTAGACCACTGATCACCATTACACAACCACTAACCACCACACTACCAGATCCAATATATCACATTACCATCACTAGTACCATAAATTTGAAATCCCTAAACAAAAATATAAACCCCAACCCTAAATCATAATGAAAACCCTAAACCATCATACCACCACTACAAAATTTAAATCATACTAAAAAATTAAATCATATCAAGGAATGAGAGATGAATAACGTAGTTATGGTTGGAGTTAGGCGAGGGAGTGAGAAAATGAGTGACTTTCGTTTTGCTCGACGTTGGTCCTAAAGGTAATAAGTTGGCTTTCTTTACAGTCATCCTAGAGAGAGATAGGAAGAGAGATAGAGAGAGACATGGATATATATATATATATATATATATATATATATATATATATATATATATATAGAGAGAGAGAGAGAGTGTGTGTGTGTGTGTGTGTGTACAAGGGTGGGGTTAGGGGTGTCAATTTATGACATGACACGTCAAAAACACACAACACGAAACAAAATCGGGACAAAATCAAAATTCAAATTCGTGTTCGTGTTGTGTTCGTGTCAATTTTTAAAAAATACGATGTCGTATCGTGTCATGTTGGTTTTCACAAATCGACACGATTAAGCATGTGTTTGTCGTGTTATGTTTGATTAAGTATGAATTAAATAAACTAATGGTTATTTAATGTTATCTTTGTCGTGTTGTTATGTTTTAATCAGTGTTGCAAATATCGGCCTAGACAACTGATTAATCGGCGCCTAGGCGCTTGGCGGTCCTCCACCGTCGACGTTTATAGCTAATCGGACCCTATTATCGGACGTGGTCAAAATCGATCAAAGACGGAGATTATCGGGTCTAAGCAAGTCTAGGCGCCCTAATTGGTCAAAAAAAAAGCTTTAAGGGCAAAAGTGTCAAATTGTTAGAATTGTTGCTAGGGTTCTTCTCACTCCATCGTATTCATTTCTTTTCTTTTTTGAAATTCTCTCTGTAGTCTGAAGGAACGAAAGAAAGCATGAACCGAAGCTTTTAAAACGACGCCATCTTCTTCTTCGATGCCATCTGTCCCTCCTCCGACACCGTCTTTTTCTTCCATTCACGTCATCGCAGTCCGCCAGTCGTCATCCTCGAAGCTAAACCAGTCTTCGCCTTCTGAAGCTTCTACAACAGTCGCCGCCTCCTGTGTGTTATATAGCAATAATCAGGATGGAATCATCGATCATGGAATTCCCACATATCCACAGCCTCCTGCTATTGAATTCCCTTAACATTCACAAAGTTCCAAATGCAGTAGACAACAGGTTGCATGTCACATCTCTTCCCGATGCTATCGGAACCCATTGTTCATAACACTTTTTTCTCCTAATTTTATGCAGATTTGGATCCAAATACAATTGTTGGTTATTTAGATTTGATGTATTAGGGATCAAAAGGGTTTTTGTAATCATAGTATCATGTTATAATGCTATATTTAGTAATTTTTAGTAACTTTTTAATAGATATAATGTTATATTTAATGTTATATTCTTAGGATTAATGTTTTATTTATTAATTTTCTAATAATTAATGGTCCCCGATTAATCTCCGCCTAGCCGATTAATCCCTTCACCCCAGTCCACCGACGAGCTACCGTCGAACAATTTATGCAACCTTGGTTTTAATTGATTCGTTTTCATGTTAGTGAAAAAAAACACGAAAGCATATCGTGTCGTGTTCGTGTTACATAAAACATTGTCGTGCAGTGTCGTGTCAGACAAAAACACGATATGGTTGCCCGATTTCATAACCCTAGGTGGGGTTTTCTAGAAACTCAAAGAAAAGGTGGTGGCCGAGAAAGGATGGAGTCGGAAGATCTAGTTACCGTTGGCGGAGAAGATATAATTGACGATTGTCGGGTTTTAAGTGGAGGCGGATTCTCTCTTCAAAATGGAGAGGTAAAGAGCGTGATATTTTAGGGTATAAGCAGCAAATAACAATTTTGAACAGAAATATGAATAAATGGTAAATTTGGCCCTTTTAGTTAATATGTTTTCATCGATTTGGTTTGAGGAAAATCTTATCATTTTAGAAGCATTTATTGGAGCTAATGAGAAAATAACAATCTCATAGGGCGCTAATTTTTTTTTTTTGGAAAATGGCGAATATTATAAAAACCCCATCAAGGAGACGAGGAGAAAAAACAAACATTACAAAAAGAAGAAAAAAACAAAACAAAGGACATGGAGAAAATATGTAATTTTTGAAAACCATAAGGAAGAGCCATTCAATTTTTTAGACTTTTTGGACCAAAAAAATATAATGTACTTATATATATATATATATATATATATATATATATATATATATTAAATTTATGATTGGTTGGAATTTCTTTTTTCAATTAATGTTACAACATTCACCCTTCACCTTTATGCTTTTATTCACAAACAATCTTTTCACTTTCGTTTGAATTTTTCATAACCCTCACCTTTTATTACATATTATTAGTATTTAGTCATATTAATATTTTTTTGGCAGAAATTGTCCATCAACTATATTTGGGTCATTTTAAAGTTGCTTCATTTTTGTCTTTTTTAGTCCCTCTACTTCCGTTGGTTATTTGTGGCATTATAGGTTCCTATGTTTTCGTTTAATTGTCACTTTATTAGTTTTGCTTACAGATTCATTGATGTTTTTTTATTTCTTATTTATTTATTTATTTATAGATCAGTTAAAGAGGGAAGGAATGAACAACTCAAACTATAAACATTTTCAAAGAACAAACAACGGAAAAAATTGTCGCATCCGACCCCCGCAACGCGGGGTTCCCCATTTTATATATAGTTATGTAATAATTTGCAAATAACAAATGAAACAGAAAGGCATATGCCAACTAATGGAAAAATAATTCAAGTGGCAGTAAACGTGGGAATCTGTCTAACTAGTGGGCTCCCTTCACATTCTATAGAAAATAAAATTTTATTCTATAATTTTATATTAAAAAAAAAAACATAAATTTTAAAGTTTAAAAGACTTTTTTATGTATAATTTTCTAAATTAACAATAATACAAAACTCTAATAAAATTAACTTGTATTAAATACAATTATGACTATTCGATTTTTATATTAATTAGAAGATAGAGAAAGTGTTAGTTATAATCTTTTATACATATAAAAAGACAATGTACTTCCAATTTTTATATAATATTGATTGCAGTTTTAAATACCAGACCTTTTAAATTGTTACACTTTTTTTTATATATTATTGTTCTTAAATTTGTTTATATTTTATTTACATAATTTATTTATCAGTTAATGTAGATATTTAAATTTCAAACCAAATTATAATATTTATAAGATAAGAATATCCAACGAAAATGACTATTTGACCAAAATTTTCTTCTCACTTTATAGAAAATATCATCGAGTCCGATACAAGGCATCCCGGGAATCAAAAAATATATAATGTACTGTATATTGCTTTCTCAATTGCAACAAATATTTTTCAAACTTCCCTTCTTGAAACTATAATTTCGAATTGTCTAATATTATCAGTATTTTTTATTTTTTTTTATTTTTTTTTTATCAAATCTTATCTTTTAAGTTTTTGTGAGTCCAAGTGTATTATTTTTGTCACAAAAAGTTAATTGATGTGACATAAAATTAGTTGGAAATTCTTATATAGTAGTGGTCATTTTAATATTAAAATTTTTTTGGATAATTTTCTTATATTTCAATATTTAAAATGGTCAAACTTGTAAATATCCTTATTTATATAGAGGATAAGATAAGGCTGGAGGGAGTGGTGCTACCGAAACCGCACTCCCTCCCCCGCCATATAAGCGTCACGTCACTTTTTACATACAAGTGTGGTTTCATGTCACACCAAAGGAGTGAGATTATGGTAAAGAGAAAGAAAAAGAAAAAAAAGAAGAAAAATGTGATTGGTTGAAAGAAAAGAGAGAGAATAAATAAAAGAGGAGAGAGAAAGTGAAAGTGCAGCAAGGGAGTACCGCACTGCGGCTTAAACCGCACCAAACCGTAGTCATGGGGCAGTGTTCCCCTGCCTATGTGGCAAAAGGTGCGGTAAAGACCGCACCCACACCCCACAGCCTAATAAGTAACTAAAACACAGACACTAACATTATAGTTCACTGTTTTACGTATTTTAAAGTTATTAACCCCAATATAATACCACTAGTTTTTCGATGATATTATAGTTCTCCTCAACATTGATATAATATAGTAGAGCGTGTATGACGAAAGTAATGGTTAGTTGGAAGTTGGGAGTAGGTAGCGAGTAGCTGATAGCTGGAAGCTGTAGTTTTTATTTGTGATATGAGTGTTTGATATAAATAGTTGAAAGCTTTTAAAATATGTAAAATTACATAAAAAGACAATTGTTTAAATATATATATAAATATATTTTTAAGGACAATTCTGTAAATTGACTTCAAAAGCTCACTAGTTTTCTGTTAAACGCTACATAAAATAATTTTTATCTTTAGAACGTTTTGTTTAAACTAAAAGCCAAAAACTCGTACTGCCAAATGAAACTTTTTGTTTAAACTGAAACGTTTTGTTAAAAGCTAAAAACTAGAAACTCCGAAACGATTCCAAATACTTTTTTCAAAATTGATCTTTACTACATGTTAACAATTATTTTATACTTCAAAAATATTTTAATTATATAATTAATATAATGGTTAATGTAATGCATTTATAAATTGGTAAAGTATATTATATTTATTAATATTTAATATATAAAATCAATTTCATTTTAATAAAAAAAGTGTGGCACCTCCGATTACTTTATATTTTTTTGGACAATTTTATATTGTAAACAATTTATCTGATTATTTTAGTGATGTGGTCCGAAGATAAAATAGAGGTAGATCTTTCACCTCTAAGGTTTTGGAGAGTGGGGCTCGCTACCACCATCGTTAGAGTGCGCTATAGGCGTTGAACACCGCCTCCTGGCTCGTGCCAGGGAGCTTGCTGGGGAAGGCTCGCCAATACCATAGGGAGAGGAAAGAAGAGAGAGAGAAAGGGTATTGATGGCTTCTGATTGGTTCTTGGTTATTCTTTTCTTTTTTAATTTTTTTCCTCCAAAATCACACATATTAAATTAACACATTATCACTACCTATCTTTTTTGTGTTAGATATGCTAAGATTACATGGTTTCAAAAAAACTAAAAAAATTCTATGTGACAATCTGCTAAAAATGCTATCCCTCCCTCCACCTAAGATTATAGCATCAGGCCTCCACAAGAAAGCGACTCTCTAAAAGGGCGTGTCACTACATGCTAAGCTTACGTGGCTTACGAAAAACTAAAAAATCTACGTGAAAATATACTAAGATTACTAACACTCCCTCCGGTCTAAGATGATAGTATCAAGCCTCCACAAGAAAGCGACTCTCTAAAAGGGCCCTTCACTTTAATTTATGTTTTTTGGACTAATTTAATGTGTTTATTACATGTCACTTATACATGCCACATATTTACCAATTTTATAGTTAAACGTCTAATAGTAAGTGTAAATTTTAGAAAAAGACATAAAACAAACAATAAATAAGTTTTAGAGGAATATGTACCGAACTTCCAACGAGCTTGAACAAGACCAAGTTCACTGTTATAATGAAGAAACGGGATAGTTTTCTTGAGAAAGTCAGGTTCTGGTTGAAAATCGGCATCAAAAATAGCCACATACTCGCACTCATTAGCATAACAATGCTCTAAACCTTCTTTAAGTGCTCCTGCTTTATATCCCTTTCGATTGTCTCTCACTTGATAATGTATGTTTGTACCTTTACATGCCCATTTTTCACATTCCACTTGTACCATACCCTAATTCCCCATTTGAATCCAAACCAATGGTAAAATAAATTTTACAAAAATCAGTATCTAATTTTGATGAATTTTTTTTTTCATATTAATAGCCAAGTTTTTGGTAAATAGAACATATAAACACTGATTAACTTTTTGTTTACTCAATGGCATTCTATATTTTTTCTAGTTCAAGGTGTTTTAGACGAAACATGCAACTGCCATATCTTTTAGAAACAAAATAAAACATTGTAAAACAGAGTTGGTTATCTCATGACGTTACACCGACTAAGCATTTATTTATGCAATATTGTTTTACTTTTTAACCAATTTATGTAACGATACTTCGTTTTGTTATCAATATTTTACCTCTTTACCAAGCTATACAACTAATATCAATTATATACACTATGCTTCAATCAATTAAACAAGTTATAAGTAATATGTTACATACATTAGTCACATAATATAATATTATTAAATAAATGAATGTTCTAACTCTATTTAAACAGTTTTTCTTTTGAAAATAAATAAAGTTAATTGTTGAAAATTTAAAGGGTCTTGTCTTCATTTATGTTAGAAATCTCATATTTTAAAAACTCATAAGTAATCACATGCTGTAACCTTTTAGTCATAAATAAACAAACTTTATTTTCCTTTATAACAGAAAGCACTTCATGTTATTGGTGTCACGTTTCCAAAAACCACTAATAAGAAATTATACTTTATTTTTATTTTGGATTGTGTAATGAATAATAGTAGAACCAAAATGGTCCTTGATACAAAATGGAAAATAAAATTAAACTTTTTATGTGGCTCTTGAAAATACCATTGCTAATAAAAACATACACACACACACACAAATATATTCTTTAAGATAATATACCAAAAAAAACGGTATTAATAGTACTAGGTTTGACATTTATTATTTACCTTGATGATAGGATCCGTTGAATCATCAAGAACTTGAATCACAATACGATCAGCCGGCCATGAAAGCCCACATGCAGCTCCAATGGAAAGCTGATAAACCTGTTTTGAATAAAAAAAAACAATAAAAACAAAACACAAAACACAAAACACAAAAAACCAAAAGCAAACATAGAGGAAGGGGAATGATGAAAAGAAAACAAACCTCTTTTTCATTGAACATTGGAATTTGAACAAGAACAAGTGGGTAAACAAAGCTCCCTGATTCAATCTCATCTTTAAATTCTTCCCATTTGTAGCGTTTTTCAATCTTTCTCCCAAACAAATAATTGAATGCAATCACCAACGACATGTAAACCATCTCTATGAACAACATTACAGACATAGCAAGAGAAACATACATCAATGTTCTCAGAAATGGCACCAAAACTGGCACTTTGAATCGTTCCCAGATCTCGATAAGTTTCCCAATGATGTCGTCTCCATCAACTGTAAACGATTCTATTGCAAGTTTGATTGTCGAAAGCCTACCCATTTGCTCTTGTTTTCTTGTTTACAAAGAAAGATACCTGTAAATAGTGCAAATAGAGAGTGCTTAGTTTTTTTTGTTGTTTTGGGGCAGATTTTAATCGAAGGGGAAAGCCGAAAAAATGGACTTTAAACAAAACCCATCTGAGTTAGAGCCGAAGGAACAGTTAAGAATAATGGAAACATAAAAGAATAATGAGAATGGTTACAGAGAGGATGGGTATATAGGCATGTGCATAGAAAGATATAGACAATTTTGTTTTAAAGGCAAATTACAAAACTTATACTTTATTTTATTTTCTATTATTAAACATGTCCAGTATTCAACCATGTGACTCAACATTATTAGATAAAATTTCTTATGGTTTAAATTTTTTTCTTAAAATGGCCTTTGTTTTTTTTTATTCCACAAAAGTTGTCACACCAATAGTCTTTATGTATAATGTCCCTAAGAGATGTTAAGTTCTCTATAATGACCACTTGTCAAATTTTGTAAAACTTTACGTACGAATCATTTGTGAAATATTTAAAAAATTTGTTTAGATTTTGTATTAATTATCATAAATCAAATAAAAACACAAAAAAACTAAAACATAGAAAATGTAATATTTATATAAATAAAAAAATAAAACATACTAAATTCAATCAACGTGTAAATATATTTATTTAATATATTTTGTTATTTTAACTTTATCTAAAATATTTAAACTATAATACATAATTAAATGAACATATGGTAAAATAATTAAACATTTAATAAAGAAAAATGATATTTAGACAACGTTTGTTGTTATTCTGATATAAATTTTAACCAAACCAATTAAATTGAATTTTATTTTCTTATATTTTAGTTAATATTTTTAAAGACAATACGTTTTATTGATTGTCCGCATTTTATTTTTAATTGAAGATAACAATGTACATATATTATGAAACAAAAGTGGAAACTATAAGAAACGGGATTTTTAGATTAATTACGTTGTAGAATGTTATTTTGATGCTAAAAGCGTTTTGGTCCTTTTTATGTTATCAAGACTTGTGAAATGTTTTGATAATGTTTTATGAATTTGTCAAGTGTTATAAAGTTATTATGTAAACGTCTCAAAACATAAGACCAAAAAATTCATTTTAATTATAATAAAACCATCAACCAAAACGTGTATATAAAAACCATACATGAAAATGAGAGTATTTCAATCAAACATCCTAATACATCATAGTCATATAAAGCGGAAATCGTGGTGTGTGCGTTGTGATCATCTCGGGCTCTTCCCCTTCGATCCGGAAGTACCTGAAACATAAACGGAAAATCATAAGCACGAAGCTTAGTGAGTTCCCCAAAATACCTCATACCATACATATCAAACATATAATTTGTTGGAGCATGAAAATGCTCTATAATGACGAGTGTTTATGTAACACCCCGATTTTCATATATAGATTATATAACAAATAATCGTTCCAACATCTCCCAAGATCAATTTTTAACTTAATTACTTATAGACTAAACTACAGCGGAAGCAAAATAAAATAAAATAAAGTCTTCAACCGAAGAGCTTCGGGTGTTACGTCTTTGCGGAACTCATTTGTCGTCTTGTTGATCAATCATTCTCCCTAGACTTCTTACTGCCACTTGTTAAATAGTTTCCTGAGTTGCGCACATTTAAAGTTTCTAAAAGGGTAAGCCTATGGCCTAGTGAGTTCGTGTTGCACATACATGTCCATCACTTAAAAAAAACAAAATGTTTTATCATATAGTTTTAATAAATCATACAAAAAACATATCACCCGATGACATATTTTAGGGAAAAAATTAATTATCCAGAGAAAGAACCAATGACTCATTTCCCTTCTCCTTGAGACAACTCATCATCCATTGTACTCAAGTATTTTAAATATCCAAGGAAATGAGTATAAATCTCAATTCTCATCCCCGCCGATCACACACATCCGTCATGCTCACAGCGATTAAACACCCCACACGTTCCCACTAAACATGTCACAAAAAAAAACGCACAATAGATAAACAACTCAAAATAACATTTGCACAAAACCATACTTATCACGAAATATACTGTGAATAAATAATTGAAAAGTCGCATATAAACCACATGCCAAACATTTATGTGCGAGTAACCACAGAACACGAAAAACTCACCTTGTTGTCGTTTGGTTTTAACCAAAGCTTATCGCACTACCTGTACCCTACATTCCAGCAACCAGTATTTTCTAAGGCGATAATCCTAGGAAAGCATCATGTGTGTTTATTTTGGCTCAATTACCCACATGTCTCATTCGACCAACCAATAATTATTTTTTTTAATATATTTACGACATTTTATTCCATATAT